TTGTGAGAAATGATCACTCTCATTTGATTAGGCAAAATTTTGTTTCTTTTACCTTGAGAAAAAACAATTGTTTGTTACTCAAGCCACATTAAAACCCTTAAAGCCCTTGTGATTTTTGCTTTTATACTGTTCAATATGAGTTTTTTCTTGATGAATGCATAATTTAACTTGTGTTAGCTTGAGTATTGGGTGAGAGTTAAGTCCCTCGTGTTTTTTTATTTATCTATCGATGAAGTGTGTGTTAGGTGTGATTCATTTTTGAACATTGTATTGTCTTAGAATTTTTGACATGTGTTTTGTATTTAGGATTTGTTTCATTTTCATGTTATCGTTGTAGTTTAGTGGTATGTTTTGCTTTGCATGTACGTTTTTGTATTGAACCATACATTTGTTTTTTGTTTTTATAAACTTGTTGAGTCGTGATTGCTTGATTGCTACTTTTGTTTCCTTGAGTTGATCGATTCTTGTTTGAGGACAAACAAGTTTAAGTTGGGGAGAGTTGATAAGTGCTAAATTGTATTGATTTTGAGTGTAAATAATTGGCACTTATTGGTTTAATTCAACTAATAAACCTCAACTTTTGTGCATATGTTGTATAGTTTACGTTATAATGTATATATTGTGTATCATGTAAATATGATTGAGTTTAATTGTTTTTCTCTCATTTTTGTAGGTATATAAGCAATGATATTTTTTCATTGTCTTATAGAGCATTGAATAAGCTTTCCAACGCTTCCGAGCGCGCGTAAAACAGAGTTACGGTTTAAAAGTTATGGTCAAAACAAGAGATGGTTTTGCTGTCATGTTCGCTAAGCGAACAAAAGTTAGCAGTTCGAACAGGAATTTCTAAAACCCGTGAAAATACTGTTTCGGCAGTAGAAAATGAGGCATAAGTTCGCTTTGCAAACGGGACTTTGCTAGGCGAACATTGGACATATTTTTGCCTATTTAAGTGATTTTTCAGCATTTTTTAGGTTATGTTGTTTGGGAACTTTTTACCCCAACTTCATCAAACACATTCTTGAGTAGATTTAGCTTAGAAACAACATTGGAGGGTGCATCTTGACGATTCGGAGTCGAATCTACTTCAATCGGAGTTGACAGACCGTGAGATTTGTGTTCTTCTTCCTTCCTCTCTATGTATTTTTCATTTGATGGGGTTTTGTATGTAAGTTTATCTTGATTGTATGTATATTTATGGATCTTTGTATAAAATCTCTTTTACAACTCTTTATCGATGGTTATCTTAATTTTTTACTTAATGGGTTTGGATTGCTATAGACATATACGGTTCAAACTCGATCTAAGATGAACATCTGTTAGATTCTAAACTCTAGACATAGATTTATGACTAATATTCACGTAGGTATCGATTCTTAATGCTCTATGTTGTCGAGTTGCGTGAGACATCACCGATGCGATGATACGGTTGATCTCTCGACTTTGCGTTAGACATAACCTCTATTGTGAGTGATACATGATGATATTGACGAGCGATTTAGGTTGCGTGCATTTGATCCATATATTTTTTAGTACATGATGGATGGAATGAAATACAACTCCTGACGAGTTTTCTCATTTCTTAAGAATGTATTTATTTTCTTGTTTTATGTTTTTTCCTTTTCCATTTTTATCCCAAACCATTTAAACTCAAGCTTAGAGACGTGTAGATTGTCGAACGACATTCTTTCCCTCGCACTGATCCCTGTGGAGACGGCATAAATCCCGAAGGAAATTCTTCCGAAAATTATATTTTTGCTTGCCGTTTTACCGCTTCAACACCCCCCGACCATCTCCATAGTTTTTTCCTTTGGATTAAAGTTGAAGGGTTGAGGACTTCTCCTACTGATGGAGAGCCATGTGGCTGTTATTTACTCTATCGAGCTAGATACTCGGTCGACCATCTGATCTCCCGAGTTACCCCATACTCAAGGATGTCAATCACCTTATAACTCCCTTACCATTTTGCAGTCTAGAACACTTGATGACTATCCAGGATCGGGTTCTGGTCCTTACAATGATGAGATATTAAGCATTGGGCTTTTATGATGATGAGACATATGGTGTGGGTCGGGCATGGTACCATTTGAGTGAAGGAGGACCCAAAACGTAGCTCGAGTGGAACCGAGATGAGACTTGACTGATTTTAGCCTCATAAATATGAATCTGGATCTGGTGGGATCTGTTGGCCACCCTTGGCAAGGGTTTAAGATCAAGACTTCTGGCGGGTCAGAACATCGTATAGTTGAGTCCTGATCTAAGGATGTTTGTTGGTTTCATCTCATGGTGGCGCGAGATTGAGAATTAAATGGATAGAAAGTACAAACACCGTAAACCTAAAACCATGATTTCGGTGAACCTTGATTCTCTCGTAGGAGATGTTTTCGGATTCTGGATTTGGGAGTTAAACTTGACTTTGTGGAAATCGTAGGAATCAGAATTCAACTCCCACATACGACACTACTATTCCATACCTGAGTGATTCAATGATGCAACACCAAGTATTGAAGGTCGAGATCATGGTACTTCCAAAATCAGAGGTATTGATCTTGAATCAACCTCGTAAATCGATGTCGATCTTGAATCGATGTTGCTAATACGACAAATCAAGAGGGTTGCCTAAATGGTTAACACTCCAACATCCAAGTCAATTTAAGGTTCAAGATAATCGTAGTGACAGTGAAGATTGGATATTGTGTACCTAAAAACTCTTTGTGAAGGTATTTATACCTTGAGCCCAATGAAACAGATAAAGTAAATGAGTCTTTTCTTATTAGATCTTTGGTCAGCACATAACAATATAAAATATTTAAAAATATATATTTAATAATTTTTTATTTTATAAGTAATTTATTTTTAAAAATACTTAAAAGCTTTTAACACAAACTTGTCTATTTTTAAGAAATAAAGTTTTATAATTATAAATGATTTAATTTTTTAGTATAATTTTTTTCCACATATATCTATTCAAATTATACTATATAGATATTTATAAAAATATTTTAAAAGTTTATATATATATATATATATATATATATATATATATATATATGATCAGAGAGAGTACACCCTTCGTCTCAAAATAATTTTTTTTTCACAAAAATTAAAAAATATAATAATATTATATTTTTATTATATTAACTTTATAAATATATTAAAAGTAGCATACACATTAATAATTAAAAGGAATAAATGAGAAAATAACAATTATTTATATATTAAAAAATAAAAACAAAACAATTTACACTATGTTATTAAAACGATAATTATTTTAAAATGAAGGTAATAATAAAATAAATTCTTTCGAATTTTCATTAGTGGCTAATAAATGCACGAAGTTCAATTAACAATTCCCTAATAAAATGGTAGGGGATAGAGTTGGGCCATTTGCTCCGATTGCCTGGACCACGGCAATAACTCTAGTGTGGTTTGTTTACTTTAGCATATAATAAACAACACGATGAAGAATAATCCCTCCTAGCTTATTAATTCTCTTGTCAACCCTTCTTTTGAGGTCAGTCCTAACTTCGCCATTATGTTACCCAAATTACATTTAAAAACATATTCAAATTTTGTTAACAAACTTAAATAATGAACAAAAAATACGCTTTTGCTCTAGTTTTCAAGAAAATAGATTTTTTTATATTAACTTTTTTTTATAAATTAAAAAAATTATTTTGACGACAATTAATATAAAAATTAAAATATAATCAAAATTATATAATTTTAAAAAAATACATCTTAAAAATAATTTTTATAAAAAATATTCAAAATAATTTAAAATTTAAGTAATTTTTTAATATAAAAAAGTTATATTTGGTTTTGTAGAAATAATATGATGTTTTTTGATAAAAAATATTTAAAGCAACATAATTAATTTTTTATTTAAAACTTTTAAGTAAAAAATTGTAAATTGTTTAAGCAAGAACACATAATCATCCTACTCTCGATCTTTTATATAAATAACTTTACAAAAAAAAAACTTACCCTTTAAAAAAATATTTAAATACATTTAAATTTTACTTTATTTTTGATTTTATTCATACTTTTTGTTTTGAAAATTCTTAAAAACATAAAAAAGTATTTTAAAAAATAGAGATATACTTAAACTAATGATAATAATTATATGTAATTTTTATTTATATTTAAGATTATTAAAATTTTATTATTATTGTTGTTTATATTTGAGATCAAAGGATTATATTCTAATTATATGGAGTATCTAAATAAAATTAATTCAAACACATCCTATGAGAAAATCTTGGTAAAATAAAAGTGTGACTAAAAAAGCACTTTTAATTTCTATATTTTAATATTTTTAAATTTTTAGTTCCCATTTTAAAAAAATCAACATTTTAAGCCTCAATTTTATACTATTTAATATTTTGTTGATCTCTAATAATTTTAAAGATTTTGTTGACGTTGCAATATTGAATAGGATGAAAATTTTATTTTAATAATTTGAAAATGCTAATTAAGATAATTTATTATATAATATTATTATATTACAAATTAATATTTTTAATTAAACTTTTTTTAGAAATTTATTTAAAAAATTTTTAATATAAATTTTAAAAAAATTCTTTGTATATTGAGATGTTAAATGGATTTAGACTTTAGCCAAAATATTCTTTTAAAATTTATATTAAATAATAAATTATTGGTAAAAGCGTAAACACAAATTCGTTTATGCCATTGGAACGGAGGAGATCTCTGTTGCATAGATTTTGAACAGAAGACGCAACAGATTATCCGCGTCAAATTGCAACAAATCCTTCTGATTTTGCTACGCAATTTCAACTCTTTCTCTTTTATTTTATTTTATAAATCTTTTAGGGTCAGTTATATTTGAGGTGAAAAAAAAAATATAAATAATCCACCCTTATTTTCTGAGTCACTTGTGTTGTTGCCGAATTTCGAATAATGGTAGAGGCGTCGTCAACACAGATAAATTAGAGAGAGAAAACACAGATATTGTTTCTTCATCTCGAACCACTAACATGTCTAGCTCAGGTATGTCTTTTTTGTTTGATTTCAGTTCATGGTTTTATTGTCGTTTTAATGATGTTTAAGTTTTCTTTAGATTTTAATTCTCTAGGTTTTTTTTTTTTGGTTTTATGATGTTCATTACAGATTACAATGTTAGAATTTGGTTGGTTTGAGGTTGTCTTTTGGGGATGGTTTTCATGTTGGAGTAGAATATGGGTTTGTGTTCTTTTGCTGAAAATGTCTGCGCTTGATTTTTAGGATTTGTGAAATTGTGTTTTTTTTAAGTAAAAAATTATCTTTTCCTAATTGAAAAATAATGTTGGTAGAATAGGGTTTTCCATAGTGATTGGAAAGTGTTGATTTTTTTGGCAGTGGAAACATATTTGTTTTGGAGGGTGCTGTTGGGGCAAACATGTGAACATGTTTGTCATGTAGCGGAAGATGGTTTTTAGAGTGTTTTGTTGTTTTGAAACGGGGGAGTGTTAATTGAAGAAGGTTTGTTAATCTTGCAATGAGTTGGCAACTTGCTGTTTTGAATCGCTAATTCGTAGATGTGACAGAGGGTTTTTCATGTGGCATATAGGCATTTATCGCAAGTTTGTGTTACTCGTACTTGACCATTAGAATCTTGGAGTTAAGGTTAATTTGGAGTTTTGTAGATTACTAATGGCGATTTAGTGTTTTACTGGTGTTTGGCGAAAAGTATTTGTAGCTTTTTGAGATGAAGATTTACATTTTTTTGGGAGGGGGTGATTGGAGTTTGGCTTCGTATTGATGATAGGTAGAAAATATTATCGGCTTATGGCCTTGGCTAGGTTTTCATTCTTTATAGGTTAAATTGTTGATAATTGCAAGCATCTGCAAAATTGTTATTAGGATTCCCATATGCTGATTAGAGGTTCTCTTTTTTCAGGGCTTATCGAACAGCACCAATTGGAGCTAGACAATTTGACACTGACCACACGCCCCATCAAAACACTAAAATTCTTCTCATTAGCAATTGTTCAATTCTTGAAGAAAACAGCAAGATATCTGTTGGCCAAAGGTGGATGGCTTTTGCTTCTCAGTTTTGTGGTAGGAGCCTTTAGCATAATGCTGATTTCCATTGATGGTCCTCATGAAAAGGTATTCTTATTTATTTTATTAGTACTTTAGTATGATAGTTCTGAATCACAAAGAGTTCCATGCGTAACTATTTATTCACATTGTTTTTTAGGTAGTGCTTTTTGTTTGTTTTGATTATTCGATACTCATAGGGCACTGAAAACTTTTGTTCTTTCTGCAGCATCTTGAGGAGCTACTTAAATATTTTCGCTTTGGAGTATGGTGGATAACCCTTGGGATTGCATCTTCAATCGGTCTTGGTAAGTAAAAATAGGCATGCATAGAGATATGACTTAGGGTCCCTGTTCTTGATTGTGTTATTCCTGGTTTGTTAGTACTTAGTAACACAGTTGGTCTTAAAGCTGCCTGTGTCATTTGGATTTACTGAAAAAATTGCTTGCAATACATAGCTTTCATACTTATGAGCAATTACCATACTTAGGACTCTCCAAACATCTTTATTATATAATTGAATGAGCTTTGTAGCACCGACACCTTTGAAAAGAGGCGTGTCCATGTCTGTGTTAATGTCGAACACTAACGACGACCCGAGACTGACATTTGTGATTACGTTCAATTTATTCATTTTTTCAAATTTTTACTGGTGTCGATGTGTCGTTGTCATGTCGGGTGTCAGTGTCAGTGTCGGTGTCTGTACTTCATAGCAAACTAGTTCTTATTTTGTACTCTTATCTATTTTTCTTTTATTTTCTTTTTGGTAAATTTTTCCTATGTTGTTTTCTTTGGTTTAGGGTCTGGTTTGCATACTTTTGTTCTATACTTGGGTCCCCATATTGCATTCTTCACAATCAAAGCCATGCAGTGCGGCCGAGTTGACTTGAAAAGTGCTCCATATGATACGATTCAGTTAGATAGAGGTCCTTCTTGGCTTGATAAGGATTGCTCGGAATTTGGGCCGTCGTTGTTTCAGTCAGAATATGGTTCACAGATTCCACTCAGCATCATTTTGATTCAAGTTCAGTTGGAGGCTGTTTTATGGGGCATGGGAACAGCTATCGGGGAGCTTCCTCCTTACTTTATCTCCAGGGCAGGTATAATGAGCATATTGCATGACATGTATTTATCCAAATTTAAAATTTTCTCTACTTCCCTTTCGATGAAGAATTTGGTTCTTCTAAAACAAGGGCCGCACTTTAATCGTCATCGTCATTAACTAAATGCATATGTATCACATACTATTAAAAAAATTTTAAGTTTCACCTGTTAAAACCTGCTCTCTGTCCTCTGAATTGGACTCTTCGCTTTCGACAAGCTAAATTCTTTGATAGGATGTACTTTCCCCCTAATAGTTTAGTTAATTATGTTAGGAACTGGTTCATACATGATTCTAATGAAATCATTTGTGTAGCACGTCTGTCTGGGAGCAGAATGGATGCAATGGATGAGTTGGATACTGAAGATGAAGGAGTCATCACAACCTACTTAAATCGCATCAAGCGTTGGTTCTTATCACACTGTCAACATTTAAATTTTCTTACCATTTTGGCACTTGCTTCGGTTAGTACTTATGTTCTTCTTTAATAATATGATCATTTTTCTCCTTGAATGCATATATAACAGTTTCTTTTGTGAACAAAATTTCTTGAACATTAAAGTTGTCAATAACTGAATTTGCATTTCAGGTTCCAAATCCTCTGTTTGACCTCGCTGGTATCATGTGTGGACAATTTGGCATTCCTTTTTGGAAATTCTTTCTCGCAACTTTCATTGGAAAGGCTCTTATTAAAACTCACATACAGGTATATATAAGTTTAAGCGCATCTTATTTTCCCCTTACCAACTAATTTAGTGTCGTTGACGCCCTTGCTTTGCTTTGTAATGACTCCAAACTCAGACTCACGCCGCATATTTATAGGGACCAAAAACATTGTTTGGTTCAGCATGTTTGTAATCTGTATCTGAAATATGTTTTCGATTAACCCTTTATGTTACATTCTTTGTGCAGACAATATTTATCATCTCAGTTTGCAATAATCAGCTTCTTAACTGGATAGAAAACGAACTTATCTGGGTTCTCGGTCATATACCCGGTTTTGCTTCTATTTTACCTAAAGTGATTGCTAATCTCCATGCCGTTAAAGATAAGTATCTGAAAGCACCTCATTCAGTTTCCCCGGCTGTCAAGGTAACATGTTTATCAATGTTACCAAGGTTGAATTGCTTATACCTTCAAAGTCTCACTCTAATAACTATTTCATGTATCATCTTCAGGGAACAAGATGGGATTTCTCGATTACTTCGATCTGGAACACAGTGGTGTGGCTTATGCTTATGAATTTCTTTGTGAAGATAGTGAATTCAACTGCTCAGAGTTATTTGAAGAAACAGCAGGAGATAGAACTAGCTGCATCAAACATTTCTTCATCAACAGATTAGACGTAACAAAACACGCGCATCGCGTTCTGCTTGTTTTGCACTTTTTTTAGCTGCTCTTGCAAGCAGATAGGTATTTGAATTATTATAGATATTCCTTAAGGTCTCATAAGAGGTTCTATAGGCAAACAAACACAATAGGTAACATAAGTTATGACATTCATTTTAGGTAACCATTGTTTGGGATGACTTTCAGATTTTAATCACTTGTTATTTTCTACTATATTGGATTTATTCAAGTCTGTTTGGAATATGAAGTGTTATGATTAAGATTAAAGCAAGAGTGTATTGAAAGTTATCATAATAGTATAGTTATAATATATACCAATTACATATGTATTTTCAAAAAAATGTCAAAATTTATTAACTAGAAAGTAAAAACGGAACTGTATATCTGTATTTTGACACAAAGGGACATCTTTGGATTAAATTGTGTTAAAATAAGGATGTGTTAGTTAGGAATAAATGAGGCGCATATAGGGTGGATAGAGAAGAGCATCTCCAGACTAATTTCTAGAGAAAAAAAAGGAGTGTTGCTTTGTTTCACATTAATTTGGTGTAAATGGGTGCATTTGAAAATATATTTCTCAATTTGTATAGATATTTTAGGATTGTTATAAGATGCTTTTCCACCACTTGATTGAAAGAAGCAATTCCAAGTATTGATTAATGAGACCGATTTATGCAGTGATTTTTCTAAAATGTTACTCAGATTATAAATATGACTAGACGACAACTAGTGTGCTAACCAAATGATTAACTATTGTGTCAAAGCTTTCATTTATGTACTCCTTATTGTAGAATCCTTTGAAAGAGATTTGAGGACTCTTCTTTTTTATGATTTGATCCATCTATCTAAACATTGTAGTATTTTTTTTTGGAATACTCTTTCCACCCTTACATGTGCATATCACACCTTTGAAAATTCAAAATCGTTCTTCAAACGCCCATCTTCGGACGCACCCAAATCAAAACCAAAAGACCCTATTCTTAGATTCACCATAATGTCCGAAGATGCATCTGTGATAAATATAAAGGAGTATTTAATTCGGAGATGCATCTCCAGATCTTTCATGAATCATATCAGAACGATATTATTGTCTAAAAATTTAATTTTTGTGAGGCCAATTTATATTAAAATAAAATCAAAGTAAAATTCAGTTATACTAAAGTTAATGAAGGGTGAAAATGCAAACATAAATTAAAAAGTCAAGATAGTTCATACATAAATTTGTCTGAAAATGCATGAAAAATACACAAAAAATAATACATCAAAATATAAATTATTGGGTATGTCTAACCGCCTGCCTCCTCCACCGCATATATTGCACGACATTTAGTAACTCGGAAACCATGCGCTCTACTGGAGACAATTGGGGATTACCACCCATAAAGAGTCATGGCTTTATGGATGCTCTACCCATCTCCGCAACACGCCAACATACCGCCATCTCGCTCTCTGCCTGCTCATCCTAAACTTCAAGTACCTCCTAGTTAGCAGACCTAGTGGTTTTCCAGGAGCGTCTAGTGTCATGATAGAGTGTGACACCTTATAGAACCATGTCATGTAGACCTCAACATACACCCACTATACAGGAGCTGGCTCCCGACAATACTCCTATAATACTACGTGACTCTCAAAATATCTAATATCTCCTATAAGTCTCTAGGGGGATGGTGGGAGGAGTATCCTGATGAGGAGGTCTTAGAGTAATTTGCAAGTAGCAAAACTGGCGCATCACTCGCTCAGGAAGATATGAATACATAAGAATGAGCCAGAGTATAAGGAAATGATGTCAAACTGATGTGTCTAGTGGTGATCATCGTATACGCAGAAGCAAACGTTGTTTGTTACCATACAATCAATAGAGACTCTGAATGGCTCGACCACACCATTCCCACTGTATGAAACAAAAGCGGATGCACAAGGCCAGTCCTTTGTGTAATTAGGCGCAACTTCCTACCGAGTTGAAATTCTAGTAATCAGATATGGGATGTCGAAGGAGATGTCACGACACTAATATCTAAACAATCACCAATATATGAACAAGATAAAAAGGTTGTTAACAATAGTAAATAGACACAAGGAATTGTTAACCCAGTTCGGTGCAAACACACCTACGTCTGGGGGCTACCAAGCCAGGAAGGAAATTCACTAAATAGACTTAGTTTGAAGTTTCACAACAAACTGTCTCTAGTTTACAATCTTCGCACCTAATCTCTACCCTTGCAATTTCTATTTAAAACACCTTAGATATGAGACACCTCTCACTCCCCCTCAATCACAGTAGTGATAACAACAGATTAATAAAATGTAGAAGGCATTCTTCAAAGACAATACTTGATCTTTCTTACAAGCTTCAATCAAGAACAATGCGCTCTTCCTTAAAAGCTTAAAGTGGACAACTTACAACTCAAAAACTCAGTCCAATTCACACATTAAGGTGATGAGTGAATGACTTACAATTAACAATAACACACGAAGCTAAAAGCTTATTCCATACGCAGTGCACTAACTTAACCCTAGCTTCTCTCATCTTCAAAATAGGACTATGAAGACTTTATATAGTAACACTTTGAACGGGCTTGGGCTTTAGCAAAAACAGCCTCTGATTTGATAAAATCAATTCAGATAATTCTTCAAATCTTTTCATAAAAAAACATCAAGGAAATAGAACCAAAATAGATTTGATCAAATTAAATCAAATCACACTTCAAATTTTTTCAAGATTTTCTTTAGAAAATAGAACAAAATATTTCACAATTACTCCACGAATTATGCATCAGAAACTCTTTTGTAGAAGGAAAATTTCCACGCAAATTTGTACCACCAAAAACTCTTATCATAACAGCATAAAAAGTTGCACAAAAACGCAACAGTTAAACCATAACATTCTCACTGAATGTTCTGTTCATAAATGTCAGGACATCATACTTGACATCATGAACTAAACCCTGCAACAATAAGAATAGCCACCTGCAGAATGTTAAGAACATATGTCAAGACATCGTGTATGACATCTTGTGATATCACCAAGTTTTACCAAAATTCCTGCCAATCATAGAACTAACAAGCTCCCCCTTTGGAAAATTTTGGCTAAAACTTCCAATAGATCACAAGAGCTCCTAGAACATATCAGAGAGCACATCAGCATAAACACAGAAAAATATTGCTCCCTCCCCCTCAAACCAAAGTGTAAACAAAAAAACTCCCCCTCAACAACATAACCAGCAGCAGATATAACAAACCACCTCAATTCTCAGTAGCAACTTCTTCTCCCCCTTTTTAGCCATAAATAAGGAAAATATACTAAGGGAAACACAATAACATAGAACAAGTAGACATAACCAAATAAAGTTAAGGGTACAGTGAGAACCCAAATAATATAAGTCAAAAGCACATTAAGTGCAAGGAGAACAAATTCTGAAACAACAAACAAAACAATCCATAAACCAAAGAACACCATAACCAAACATCATCAATTATCTTCCTCAGACCCAGAACTCTCATCTTCATCATTAGTTGTAGACCCAGAAGCATTATCACCAGTCTTCTTACTAGAGACAAAAACCTCCTCATCTTCCTCTTCCTGATCATCAACAGCCTTCATTTTATTTTCTTCATTCTGTTCCAGACCTCTAATTAGAGCTTCCAACTTAAGTTTCCTTGTTGTAGCCACACTAATAACTTTTCCTAATTCCCTGCAGGTCTCCTTTAATTCTGATATAACCCTAATCTTTGTAGTGGATGTCTTATCAGAAGATGCTAAGACAATGTCTGGGACATGTCTTCCTGCAAACAACTTATAGTGAAGTGACAATACAGAGTCCCTTTTACAGGCCACATCATTGCTTGAGAGAATCCCAGGATATTGGCTCAAAATAATCCCACAGATCAGAGAGGGGAAATCAATGGGTAGCTTAACACAATTAGTGATGGCATGCTTCAAAACTTGATCAAAGATGTAACTTCCATAGTCAAACTTAACCTTGGTCCCAACAACAAAAATAAATCTTCCTAGACCAACAACAATGGTTGAAGTGTGATTTGTAGGTACCCAGTTGGCAGCACCAATCCTATGCAGGATGGCATACTTCACACTTAGTTGGCCATCAAATAATTTACCTTTTGAGGGCCATGCATTAACTTGATTAGCAGTTATCACCTTACAAACCTGATTGTTAGTTACCTCCAGTTCACCAGCCTCTTCCTCATCCCTACCTAAAAATCTGTTAATCACATCAGTAGAAAACTCCACACATCTTCCTCTCACAAACACCTTCATGAATTCCTTGCTCTTTTTGTCAGTAATGTCTTCAAGAATATTCACAATGAATTCCTTAAATAGCATATCATAGCATTTTGAGAACCCAACCACAGTTTTTATCAGCCTAGCATCAGAGATTAGTTTCATGACTTCCTTGATCAATAGCATCCTTGCCTAATTCTCTCTCCAAAGCAATTCTTCTTTGGTACACAAATTTCCACTTTGCCACATTGTCAATGGAGTGGAAAGACACATTATCCAAAGGAGCAGCATGTACAATATCTGTTGTTTTCTTTGTAGCAGATCTTTTTACAGGAGTGATGTCCTGGACATCATCCTCAACATCTTCATCAGATTCAGTTTCTGACCTAGCCTTTCTTTTCTTAGAGACAGGAGTGACTTTGCTCCAAGCTTTAGGGGGACCAACAACGATTTTCTTCTTATTACTCTTAGAGGGAGATTGATCAATCATAGATTTTCCTTTTCTAGTCTTCAGCCTTTTTGCAATTCCAAGAGCCACATTCTTTATTAATTCATCATCAGATGGAACACTATCAAGGTTCACCACATCATCAGAAACACTTACCTTCTTCTTACTTTGATCTGAACTATTAGTTTTGTTTTCAATACCAGAGGTACCGACATCCTCATTAGCATCACCTTCTACTCTTCCTTCTTTGAGCACAGAGTTAGCTAACTTGTGCAGATTATCTGTGTTAGGGTTCTTCTCAGAAT